GATATACAGATGGCTCGAGTGTTGGTCTTTCCAAATTTCATTGCTATTGAGACATTTTCTGTATGTTTAGCTGTTCGGCTTACCGTTGAGTACATTTACACAGTACAGTAATTCTAGAAACTTCTTATGTGATTCAGCTAGCAATGCACTTAGCTTTCTTATAGAATGGGTTTCACCATTCATTCCAACATCAATCTTTTTAACAACTGTAGCATATTTTCCAGTGCACTGGTACTTTGATTTGAAAGCAATCGTTCAAATTCTGTGGGTGGAACATTTCTGGCAATAGAACAATAGTATCTAGACTGTTGATGATTGCCTACATCGTTTAACGTTTTGTTTTCTGCCTTCTATAATTTTCATGGCAGGTTACTAAGCGAAATACAACCACAACGTTGCTGAGATATTTGCAAAACTCTGGACCGCAGGTGTCTATGGTGGGGGATTTGCGCTCCCCAGATCAACCCCGCTGACGGGTGATTGCTGTGGCAAAAAGATCGATAGAAATAGCTGAGAGACAGGCGAAACGGACCCGCATGGTGTGGTGGTGAACGCGTTACTCGCCGGAAAGGATAATAGCGCGTTCGTTCCCCACCATAGACACCTGCGGTCCAGAGTTTTGCAAATATCTCAGCAACGTTGTGGGTTGTATGACTACATCGTTCATTCTCCCAAAGGCAAAAAAAAACCACTATACTTCGGTAGAATACACAAATATTAGAGATTGCTGTTTCTTTCGCTACATCCGCTTTGTTCATTCTGTGGAAGGTAATGTGATCCGCTCTCAAAGTAGCACCATGGGAATCAGTGCCTTTTTAGGAGCATAGCATGATAAAAAATTCTTTCATGACACAATTTCTCTTATTCAATATCCTGCAAAAGAGGCAGTGAAACCCAGAGATTTCTCTGTTCTACTTTTATGACCCACATCCAAAAAGTGATGCAAGGTCTGAAAATCAAGGTTTCATAGAGTGTTTCCCCATTTGATCGTACTACTCTGACCTTTAAAGAATCTAACACTAGAAAGGTGTCAATCGTTAACGTCGTTCGACACGGTTAAAGCCAAAATTCCAGGTGAAGTATGAAGGCCGTCATTGCAATGGGGATAACGATAGTTTGCCCTCCAGCACGTTTAGAACGTCATTGCGAACATCATTTGATGACAAATCGCGATGAAACCCTTCCAAACCACATCACTCAAACTGATGAATGCATTCAGGTAACCTTGGACTAGAACTTATTAAAAGAGCAATTTATGATTGTAACTTATTATTTACTGCCTGCCTTTTTTACGGCAGGGTATATATTGCAAAATATAACTTCAGTGTTGCTGAGATATTTGCAAAACTCCGGACCGGAGGTGTCTGCGATGGGGAACGAACACGCTTTGTCCTTTCCAAGGAGTAACGCGTTTACCACCACACCATGCGGGTCCTTCGTTTCGCCTGTCTCTCAGTTAGTTCTATCGATCTTTTGCCATCAGCAATCACCCGTCATCTCAGGTCCGGAGTTTTGCAAATATCTCAGCATCATTGGAGCAATTTGTGTTTATGACATTCCACTTGTGATGTAAGATCAACGACTTTCGAAAATCTTTCGATCCTAGCAAAAAAAGAACCCAGGAACAAAACCGCCATGGGAGGATCATAGCTATATTTCCCCTCAAATGTTTACCCACTCACATCTAAACTCTCTAACTTGGTCAAAATGATCCCATGTTGAGTATGCTAAGAAACTAAGCTCTTTCACTAAGAGTTATGTGGGTAAGAAAGAGGACATTTGACTGAGTGCGGTCGATAATAACAATTTCTTTGGAGTGATCCGTTCATTGTGGGAGGGAGAACAGTTATTCGACAAAACTCGCTTTGTCCAAAATTTTCAAGGTTCACTAAGAATTCATTTTTGATAAAACTTTAGTGTCTAAAAAGCTTCAAATGGTTGCCGATGATCACATTAGTGACTACAATTGTCATAGTCAGTTTACTAGGTGGCAAAGTTCAGCTTTTCATTGGGCATGTCCTGGACAGCATCGTGCAAAGTTGTGCAGAACGTTCTTACATGTTGTTCTTTTCTTTCTTTGCAAGAATGATTACCGACCATTGTGACCATCCTTTGCACCGCCTGCGAATGTGCTCAGCAGCAATACGTTCACCCACCTCCTAGATATCGATCGACCATCACTTTCGCAATCGACGCACAAATATGCCTGTTTTGCTGCTACTCTACACCAATATCCTTTCATTAACTTACTAGTGCTGTTCATTCTTCATGTGTAATGAACTCAGCATGATAATACTGGACAACAATTCATGATAAACGTAGGTTTATTAAAAACGTCATTGATCCGGCTGATGGATGAGGAGCTGATTAGCCGCTAACGCATAAGTCCCTGTTCTCGGATTTATGATTGTAGTCGTTTAGGGATTCTTAGAACACCTGTGAACCTCATCTGACTGATGGAAGGTGTAAGCGAACCGTACCGTTTATTGGTAATTATATGGTGATTTCTGTGAAATTTTCGGCCCGCATCTGAATATTCGGCTTGAATTAATCTTCTGCAAGGATGGCTTACCACGTTTGTTCCTTGCTCGAAGAGGAGAAGCATTTGTTTTTTGCGAGCGATGCAATGCATTGTGTTTCGATAATACGACACGTCTTTCATCTATGCCATACCTTTCTGTTCGCTACAACATCAGAAGTTCTGCGGCGCTCGTGAGCTTTCGAACAACTGTTCGCTTTGTTTTTTGCTGCTGAAAGTTTTCTAACCCATTCTGCATGGATATACCTAAATGGCTGTTACTTATACGACCTAATGACCCTAGCACTGCTTCTATTCTCCTTATTATGCTATAGTGCTTATCGACAGAGTGCTGTGGTTCCAACGGAGGTTCGGCTACGGCTTGAGAATCTCTGAAATTCTCTACTTATTGACGTGTTTAATACTGAACAGGGGAGTTTTACACTGAAATATTGAGTTACCAGTACCTGTGCTTAACAAGAAGGTCATGTCGCGGAAGAGATTCTTCTAGAAAGGCAGCTTTTGGGTTTGAAGCGACGTTTCCTGCTATTAGTTGACCTACCGATCCAAGACGGTGTAGTAAGCCAATTGGAACTCAGTCTAACTACCACTTGTCATATATCCCTTATTTTGTTATACTTTTATGTTTTTCCTTTCTTAGTTTGCTATTTTGCATAACATTTTGTGCCGTTGTACGGTTATAAGTTGACTTTTGCTGAACTTCGGCACAAATAACCTAAAAATCTTTTCAGACTGTTCGTCTTACACAAAAATTGTACTCAGCGAGCATTTCGGCGCCTTCGTTTTCTTCAGTCGGAACGAGCCGAGGCGATCGTCTACAGCCATTCGTTCTAGCAATAAGTGTATTCGTAGTGGCATCGAGTTAAGGGATTTTGAATGGAGAATCCACCACGCGAGTGAAGTATCCTCACTCGGCAGTGCCTTTTTACACAGGCCAGTTCTTGAGTGACTGCCTGATCCATAAGATCCGACTCGATTTCAATACGAGGACCCACATTGCAGGGAACGAAGGGCTGTGGGCAAACAACCCAGATTAACGCGCCTTTGAGGAAGTCGAAGGCGCCGACACGTTTGTCGAATAAAGATTTTTATAACAAGCTCATGTGAGCTAAACACTATCCTATTGGGTTTTGCTCATTTCAAAATTGTCAAGTGGTCACGGTTTTTCTTAGTGATTCCTGACAGAAGGAAGTATGGAATGAAATGGAAGTTTGTATCTAATCGTGTGATGGTGCATGAGTGATATCCGTGTGATTCACACAATGTCGTTTATGGTCTTTTTCTCTGAAATTTTGAACAGTTGCTCATCTAATTGATTTCAGTTCTTGATTTCCATCCAGAAGTCAGCCGAAGATGTCAATTTTGTACTTTAGGGAAGTGTTCAAGGTAATTGAGAAGTCTCAGGTTAGTTTTTTGAACACTCACTTAAAGAGTTTTTCTTTTCTAGGAATCTTGCTTTCTTCGGCACAGTCTTTTTTTGGTTGTTAATTTGCTTTTCAAACAACAAATTTTCTTTTCTCATCAGTCCTAACATGGCCATGCCAGAGAGTTTATGTGTTGTGACTTCCAAGATTTCTGATTGATTCTTGAGTTTATTGTTCTATTCGAGTTGCAGTCTCTTCGTCAGACCTTTGTGGGCGTGGCGAAGCAGACCGGTTGGACAGCTCTTGGTACGGTGGCTGGAGGGCTACTCGTGGGACCATTAGGAGCACTTGTTGGAGGAGTTATAGGAGCTGCCTGCGGTTATAATTATAGTAGTGACTATGATGTTAGTTTTTGCTGGACTCGTTTCTGTTTTTTATGGTACATGAATTAAAATATTTGGTTCGTCTCCTAGATTTTTTTCGCCATTTTTTCTGTTTTTCCCTAATGATATACATCCGGGAACTTAATATACCAGTAATGTTGTATGAGCTAATATTTCTGGAATGTCCAAGATTGAAACCTTTTTTAATGACACTCTCTGATAGTTGCTAGTTTTCTGCTTTCCCTATTTCTGTAATCATTTATATTTAGAATTTAATAACTGCTCTTTGCTCAATGACTGACAAGGAAAAATATGAGGTTGCCCAGCAGGTTGGTGCTTCTGATCAGATATGGGAAAAACAGCTTAGTCCTAGAATCGCTATGTAGTGGCTTTGCAGATCCAAGCTCTTGTGGGGTCGACTACTATTGAGGCGTTTAACGTGTTCATTATGACAGAAGTTAATCGGCAGAAGATCATCGATTTGCTTTCTTCCTTTGTCAAAACTGTTTCTAATACCTGATTGCTAAATGTATCCTTGGGACCATCCAAAGACCAACATATCGAAGTCCAACGAGTCATAGTTTATAAAGTTGTTGAAATGCTTTCTTTCATTGAATAGGTGTTTACTGTATTTACGATGGAAGTGGCTATGAAATAATTGAGATCGCCTTCCACTCCTAAAACGTGTGTTATTTCTGTTCTCGTTATTTCTCTTTGTTTCTGTTTTCTGTTGAAATCTGTCCGGGATTTTTAAACTAGGTCCTAACGGCTTTTCTTTACACTTGTATTTTCTCTTGCAATAAAAATTGGTGTGGGATGTATTGCTGGTTCAGCACCAGTTATATTTTAGCCTTCAACAAATTAAGGTATCGTCGCATTGACATTCTGTAGTCAACCTTGCAGTGACGATGAGCCGAGTGATAGGAATTTCTACATATTAATGATATCCTTCTACCATATTTTCTATGTGATTTGTTTTTAAATATCGGAATTTATCCATCTCCACATCAACCGTGAGGTGTCGCGGAGGTAGCTGGCGTTTTTTTTCTAACCTTAAGGTTTATCAGGTTCACTTCCACTTATAGCTAAACGAAAGTGCAGAGGCGGTATTTCTCTTCGTAAAGAGTCTATTTGATAACCGGTTTCTACTGTGATAAGTTCTTTTAATCTCGCCTAATGACCGATGGTTGACTAACTGAAAACTCATCATAAGCCTATTTAAGAGATAATGGCCTCAGAATAAAATGAAATCAGTTAAATAATAGATAACTTGATGAGGTGTGAGGTTGTCATGAGCAGGATCAGACGGATACGGACTCAAATATGTAGGGTATCTTCGACATAACGTTTCTATGATTTGTACAGAATTCAACTTTATCGACTCAATCAAGAAACACCGCGGTCGAGAGAGGCATCACTGATTGGTTACAAGCTTAGTTATTCTAGTTTATCTGCCTGGAGTACTGGACGTCTGGGCTTGATGAAGTTATCCCCAGCCGTTCTAACTTATAACCTATTTTTGTTTTTAGTACTCGCTTTTTTTTGTAAACTCAACTTCGCTTGACGATCGTATTGGAAGCCTGGACCACTTTATTTGTGATAAAATTGAGCTAGTGAGCACTATACAAGACACTTTCGAAAAGATGGTACTAGGAGGACTATCCTTTAAACAAAAGAGGTAATCTAGGGTCCTGAAGGAAAGGCGATGCTAGGAAGATTATCCTGAAAACAAAAGAATAGGACACCTTACATCGAAATTTATGCAGGGTGGGGTCATGATATGTCTTAATGAAAGCTTTTGGATAGAAGTTCTTAACCATTAACCTGTTTCACAGAACATCTAGCGGGCAACGGGAAGACTGTTCACCTGAAATCAGAACTCCACGGAAATTCGGCAAGAAGGGTGTGCTGCTCTTCGTCTCCTCCGAACGAGTAGAAACCATAGAGATAAGGTGGCGCTTTATTGTAGTCGATCTGTGTCCATGGGTAATCAGTGGTAAGACCGGCTGATATTTATAACGTGCGAACGCAGAGATTATCTCGATATAACACCTGCAGGGTCAGCTGTATCATTGTGCATCTCAGGACAAGTAAATGGCCGCTTCTGATTTATATTTAACTCGCAAACTGCCAGTTGGTGAGTACCATCTAACCCCGTATTCGGCCAACTCGAGATCCTTTACATAAGGATGATCGACGAAGATAAACCCTTAAATTTATTAGGTAAGGAATTATTCAATGGACAAAATCAAGCCTACTGAGGTGTTCCTTAGCATGTAGGGGTCAACGTTAAGCGCTGGTAGCTAACTATATTCAGAAATGTTGCTGGTTAAGACCAGAATTTGCCATGGGTAGAGCCATGTTAAGACCTTATTGGGCCGTTAGTGCTTGCGATCACTCATCGGTTTTAGCTTTTCTTAGCCAATATTTGTACAGTTTCCCTGGTTTTTCCCTTTCTTCTCCAAAGCGTGTACGTTTATTATAAAAACTGAAGCTCAACTGATCTTAATATCCTTGTTTCCTCGTCAGATATCTGGGTTCGATTTTCTCGGCGCTTTGTTTACAGTCAGTAAACGTGCTCTAAGCGAGGCGATATCGCTCACAGCTGTTCTCATTTCGCTAGAGAATTCACGTGGTTCAACGCTATTACTTTAAGGTCGTTATCTCTTGTTCCTTACATTCTATGTATTCTATTGCTACAAAGAAGAATGAGCGAGTTCAGATGACAAGTGAGGAAGTCGACAACCTGTGTTCATACTGTTTGGCGGTGGTCCTCGGCTTAACTGTCCTGTTGCTCCTCTCGTCGAGAGTTCGTTTCTACCTGAAGATGTTCCTTTATCTGACGTCAATGATAATCAGTGGAGCCGTTGGTGGGATTATTAGCATACCATATGGCCGATCACCTGATAATCACTAGTGAGTCTTCTCTTCTATCGTCCTTTTTCATTTTGTTAGGTGTCTTTGATGAATCGGTGTTGTTTCAGTCGAATATTTGGTATTTTCCAATACTTGTGCTCGTTTTTACGACTTCATTTCACCTTACGGAACAAGCATTATATTGATAGTGATAAGCCGTTCATCCTAATCGCAAATCATCAAAGCGCTTTCGACGTACTCGGTAGGACTAAGACTACTTTGTATGGAAAAAGTTGTGGTGCTCACGGCCGACATTCTGTTAATCTCGGCAAACCTCCTGTTCAATTCAGTTCTTTACATTCTTGCTGAGCAAACACGAGGTGTTATTTTACTATTTATTAACGGAAAAGCTGACGTTACAGCGGACTTTGCCTTCGTCAGAGCCTGGAAGAGTAAACTTGACCGCAATGTACCCAGCGAAACCCCTCCATAACACCTAGTTGTATAAAAAAAGGATAAGGCTTTCGGCGTTGATCAATCTCTGAGGGATGCGCCATGCATTCGACTTCATTAGGTACGGGTAGCTTGATGGGCGAGGTGCGCGGGAATCAATCGCATCTGTATTACAGAGCACCTACGACCATTGTGCCAACCGCACCCAACACTTAGTTATGTTACCTTTTACTTAATATCGAACCATGTTGTTCCCTCATTTCTGGGTAAAAAATTATGTTGGTAGTGGAACATGTCGTTAACCTCTTCATGCTGCTGTTAAGGAATAGTTCAGTAGCAGGTTCTGTTCTGGTTAACCCGTTTCTTCCAGGAATGACATATTGTTGGCCAGAGAATTGCGTTGTGATGCTAAAGAGCAGCTTGAAGTTTTTGCCAGGATTTAATCTGTCTGCTTATATGTGCCATTCAATTTTTATCAATCGTTTTAGTAAAGAAAAAGCTCACAAAGCTTTAGACTCAACTTTCGATGCCATCACCAAGTATCAGGTACGTTTTAAAATCTGTTACTCGCAACCGATTCAGGAGTTGTCATGTCTAGCGCTGTCTGTTGTTGGTTCACAGCCCTTTTTTCAGCGAAAAGTTTGGATTTATCCTGAAGGTACGCGAAATGCTGGCAATGTTATGCTGCCTTTTAAAAAAGGAGCGTTTGTTCTTTCAGTGGAAGCCAAGGTATCGTGATTTGCACTTATATGTATGTTATTTCTGTACTTATTCTGAGCGTTGCTGTACAGTTCACCACGTTTTGTAAAGATATTTTATTCGTGATGAATTCTTCGTTGTCCTATTAGTAGGATCCGTACCTCTGTATACATTTTTCCGGTTGCTAGGTGGAAAAACAATGTTAAATTTATCGCTAATTGACCCATACAACGGTTAATTAGGCAATATTGTACTATCTTACCTACTGGGTTACTTGAAAGGCCCATCCTCGCTGGTTGTGCAGGTCCTAGCATAATCTCCATTCTTCGGAGTTTTGCTGCTTTAGCCATTGTGATTCCATGGAGTCCCGAGGTCAGCCAGGCCAAGGTCTGCCCCAGTTCGTCACCATCACAAGTAGACACCGTCCTTGTGGATTAGTTGGAGATTTGCCACCATGCGGCTAGTTTGGTACCAGTACGGTGACGGATTCTGGGACTGGTTTACTCTTAGCTGGACTTCCTGATAGAAACGTGGTACTCGTTCTCTGCTTGTGAGACCCTGCCGAGGGGATTGATCCTTCTGCTGTACATCGCAGCCCGACACCCAGGAAGACCTCCCACCCAGCCACAATGAGGCGGTAAACCGTTGGAGGTCTCTATTGTCATGGTTTTTAATGTGTTCGAGTTTTGCTTGAAGAAATATACGATGTCAGTTATTCGTGCTCTTTACTTATTTTTGATACTTCCACAGATTTCCTTTTGGAATTTTTCGTATTCAGGTTCCTGTGATATGCTGTGTATTTTCCTCTCATAGCTTCTTTTACGATGCTGTAAGTCAATAACATGTCACATTTTCTTTTATTTTTTTTATACCACTCGAACTGGAAAAGTTTTAAAGAAACCACTTGTTCAGGCTGCGCGGAGGCTTAGCGGTGGCGAGTGTTTGGTTGAGTTTCTACCTCCAGTAGATCCGTCCAAGTTTAATGGGGTCATAGAGCTCAGTGATTACTGTTGGAATATAATGATGGCTAAGTATGAAGAGCTCAATAAAGAGCTAAGCAATAAGTTATCTCATAAAGACAACTAACACCTGTATAGTTATTTTGTGCAGTTCAGTTAACGGTGCGCCTAATGCATTTATAGGTTTTGATTTTTTTACCCAGCATTTTTACGGATGTTGTCATTTACTTACTCAGACCAACTAATATTTGTTGCCTATTTGATAATTTGAAAGATGTTGCCTGTTCCAGGGAATTACTCGCTCGTAACTTGATGTCAGAATTTATCTCAAATGTCCGTACTGTGAACAATTACCTATTACGCAGGTTTTGCCTAATATTACTTGGTCTTAATGCCAAGGATTTACATGAAGAATTTAATGTATTTGCATATGGGGGCGAGATGTTGGCATTGGCGATATGCATGTTTGTACCTATTTATCCCGTTTGAGATGTCTACCCAAGACGTGTTCCTTGCTAAAGTACTGTAGTTAAAGGTGTTACTTAGAGCAGAGAAGATCGAACGTCGTTCCCTAGCTCGAGTTGGAAGCGGCTTCTGGTCCAAGCACCAGGTAGATTCATGGAAGAACGGGTGAATCCTTGTGAAACAACCAGTTGTTGTTCACATACTGGTGATTGACTGTTTCTGGTTAATTGCAGTTTCAGATTTGCTTTTTCCGCTCTACCACTTATTGGTAGGATTTTTTAAAATGCACATTATTCAGGTACAGGTGTGTTACCATCGCTTTCTAATGACAATGTTCAGTGCAAATTCGACAGCAACGAGCTGAGAATAGTGGGAGTTTCGTCGCACGACACCGCGGATATCGAGAAGAATGTTCGAGATACTGATGTTATATTTCAGACCTCCACTTATTGATTATTTTCATGGGACTTGTCATTAGATTGTGCTCAAGGATTTTTCTTGAGGTGGTCCGAAGTTTGCTTGGAGATATAAGCAGTTCATCTCTGGGCGTCGACCTTTTCACGGAAGAGGAATCCTGCAGTTGGAGCGCATCCCACATTCGTGATGCCGGTAAGTTCTCGAATTCTGTTTTTGATTCAACTTGGTTTCGCCCACTGTTTCTTTTTTCGATAAGATGTGATAGTTTTATTGAGAGGTCTTTATAACAAGAGCAAAATATGGAGCGCCAGGGTTCGTTAAGTCCTATCCTCATTCCAATATGAGTCTCATATTTCTAGTTGATTAATGGAACAGGCTTATTGGGAAAATATTGGATGGTTCTGACGTTGTGTTTTTCTATCCAACGCCTTTAAAGCCTCTTAGTTCCCAGACACTATTCCAGACGAGTGTTGATATGTCTTAAAAATGTGATAAGATTCTGGTTACCTAGATTTTTCTCTAATTTCGGGCTTTAACTTTCTCACTCCATTAAAAAAGGAACGAGCTTAAATTGAAATGTCAGTGATTCCTAGTTACTAATTGGTGTTTCGAAAGTACACCTCAGTATGGTAAAGTATGAACAGTTTGAACTTCCAACGATTTACCCCTAATCGTGACTGGGAGGTGTCCCTGGGTGGCGGGCTGCGATGTGCAGCGGGGGTATTCATTCTCCAGCAAGGTCTCCCAAGCTCAGAAGGAGTCCGGTGTCTTCGTCAATAAGAACCAGTTAAGGGTAAATTAATATCGATACAAGGATCCACCACCGTTTTGCTATCACACTAGTCGCATGGTTGCAAATCTCCCTCTGATCCACAGTGGCGGCGACTGCCGTTCGTGGTGACGACCCGGGGCAGATTTTGGCCAGGCTGTCCTCGGGATTCCAGGGAACCACAACGGTGTAACCAGCAAATCTCCGAAAAACGGTGATTTCACTGGGTCCCGCACAACTACTGAGGACGAACTATTCAAGTATTGAAGTAAGTAAGAATGGTTTAGATATACATAATGGTTTAAAATTTGTCACAAAGGCGAACTTTATATGAATTTTTACTTGGTTATCTTAAAGTATATTTGTACTAATGCGTTGTACTATAGTTTTTCACCGCCGGAGACTTTTATGACCATTGTTTTTGTACAACTTTTTGTTTCTCCACATATTTCAGGAGATTCCAGTTCTCACGGCTTGAGTAGCGATAATGATTATTTTCTACTGGAGGACAATGATGGAATATCATCCACATGTAGTTCATCAGATCTCAGCGAGTCGAGGTATAAATTGTTTGAAAATTTAAGGCGGTTTGAAAATAGTTCTTTGTCGTTCCTTAGTAGATAGCTGTTTTTTTCCATATAATACCATTCAGGGATTCGTTGAAAAGTGTTAGAAAGTCAACAGCAAGTAGAAGTTTCATTCCAATCGTGGACGACAGCAATGATGAGGACTTCATCGAGCGTTTAAAGTTTGTCAGCACAAAGATATTTTGTAGGGTCATACCATTCCTTGACATAATTAGATTGATGATTGGTGGTAATCGTTTTTGGTAATTGTTATCGTTGTTTTGTTGTATCTTCCAACGGTTTACCGCCTCATCGTGGCTGGAAGGTTTTCCAGTGTGCCGCACTGCGGTGTACAGCGGTGGGATTTATCTCCCCCCATCAGGGTCTTCCAAACTGAGAAGGAGTCCGGCTTTTTCATCAGGAAGCTCAGCTAAGAGTAAACCGATACCAGGATCCACCGTTCTGATATCAAACTATTCGCAACGTGACAAATCTCCCGCTGATCCACAAGGGCAACGACTGCCTGTGGTGGTCACGACCTGGGGCAGACTTTGGCTAGGTTGACCACAAGGCTCCAAGAAACTACAATAGCTAAACCAGCAAAACTCCAGAAAATTGGAAGTTATGTTGGGAACCCACGCAACCAGTAAGGACAGTCTGTCCAAGCATTCAACTAAGTAAGTTTCGCTGTAGTCATTATCACATTTGCTTCTAGATACCTTCAAAAATGGTGTGTCAGTTTTGAGAGGAATTACAAACGCTTCTAAAATTTGCTTTTTTAGGCGACACGATGCGCAAGAATCTCATGAGGGCGAGAATTTCAAGGAAATAAGCGAATCTCTAAAGCTCTCTCGTCGTGTTTGGGATCGTCTTTACAAGTATCTTTTTATGTTTCATTCATTCAATCACAAATTCATTGTATTGTTGATCCGTGGTATTCAACTTCTGCTGATTGTTCTCAAATCCTTTAGATATGAATCAGGTGAAACCTCCAATTTTTTTTTAAAAATATTAACCCTCTTATTTGAGTTTGAAAGTTGGATGTAGATCATTGTTACATCAAGTAACTTGTTAGTTAAGGGTTATGTTTTAGGTTACTATTTGGGAAATTGTTTTGCAACAATGATTCCTGGGAAATGTGAAAACCGCGAACTTTTTTGCGTAGACTATTAGAGGACAGGTGTTTTTGTATGGCTAGGTGCATCATAGTACGTTGTGTTTCTTCTTTTATCATTGCATTGGCTCTGTGGTCGGAGAGGCCCTGCAGCACACACGTGGGATCGATCTCGGCATCCCATGCTCACCAAGTCTTCCATACCTTCCGGGGTCTGCAATTTGGTGCCAGGCTTGTCTGGAAGGATAGCAGCACTGATTCGATATATGGGTAGCCCACCGCAAGTCGTTGTAAGGGCAAGATGTGCATTCAATGACCTCCAACTATGCTTAAGAAATCAAATGCATGGCGCATCCCTCAAGAATTGATCAACCTCGAGAGATTTATACTTTTATCATTGTATTTGCTAGCACCATATCAGAGAAAACTTTCTTTTGTTGTAATTCTAGCATATGATGCTTTAACTGTTAAGTAATGTGTAATTTCTTAATTCGAAGCAAATCTCTTATTCATTTTTCAGGTACCAGAAGCAAGGTATTGTATGGCTTTCTGAATTGCATGAGCAATATGTCGGTGGCATATTAGCAGATGAAATGGGTCTTGGAAAGACTGTACAGGTAGAATCTTGAGAACTAACCTTATTTTCGTTCCGGGTGAAACTGTCGTAGTCGACATTCGCTATTATAAGGGGTGCGTGGTCTGAGCAAGGTTGAGAAAAGAGGCTGATAATCGATTACTGTCGAGAGTTTATTTTTATGTGTGGGTTTTTTGAATCCATAAAGAGCTGAGGACGTTCCATCCCTCTCTTTTATTACGTTAGTGGTATCTACTGGTACTCTAACATTATTTATTCAGGTGATAGCTTTTCTTCGAGCGGTTGATGAGTCCCAAAACGATGATAAATATATGAAGTAAGTTTTTCTTATCAGTATCGGAATTGTGGGTAAGCATTTGTGTGCGCGTTTGAATAGAGGCAACTCTAAATTTGAGGAAAAATCGTAAAATTATTTTGAGCTTAGCATGAAATTTGGTCTAGAATACAACGCTAATATTGGAGCTTATATTTGTTAAGAATTTTTCTACTGAAACGATATTTGAGTATTTAAGTTTCATTGGGCTCGGACCGTCGTTGATCATTTGCCCATCGACATTACTTCGCCAGTGGGTGAGAGAAATACACACATGGATGCCACTATGCAGGGTATAGGGTTAATTTGTACCTTATAATGTGACATTTCTTTGTTGTTCCTTTCTAAGTTTGAATTTTAAATTTGAGGTAGCTATACTACACTCCACTGGAAATTTTAAAGGTTCACGACGTGCTCTGGTCTCAAAAATGGCAACAAATAGGAAGTTAGTTTTTGCTTTCATTCTTCATTTTTAAGTAGTTCCTTGCATGTGTTTTATTTTAACTGAACTTTTTGTTTTCTCTGATTATATAGTTCATCGGCGAAGCTAGCTTTCGACATTTATAGGAGATTTTAAGATTTTGTAATTCTCTATAACACGAGCAGTTTTGTAATGAGGTAACAACGGTACTAAATAAAGGCAAAGCAGGTAGGTCCAGGTATAGCCAAAGTAAACTAAAAGACAGTTTTGTAGGAATCTTTACCTGGACACTTCATGCTTACTATTTATGGGTGCTTAATGAGTTGAATGTAAGGCGGATCGCTTAAGGATTGATGAACACCGAGAGCTCTATCCTTTTATCCTTTTTAAAGGTACAACTGATAGTCATCACCTGGAAGCTCGTCTACCCATTATAATACATGGCAGTCTTGGAGGTCGCTTGCATTCAGTTTAAGTCCACGGCCTGTCAGCTTTGCTTTAAGTGTGCCTTCTGTCGAATCATTAAAATGGAACAGCATGGCGTAGGTGTACGACGAGGCCTACACTATCGATCTTTTTAAAGTGGCCTTAAATCCGTAGATAAGGCTGTCCAGCCACTAAACTCGTGTGTCGGCCCTCGTAGCGCTGATTTTTTCGCAAATACCTGAAATTTGGCAAAAAACTTCCACCTAAAATAGGTATAATGGTCTACATCTGGCGAGAGCTTTCTTCTTTCTAGATTTAAAGTGTGAAATTATCTCCATAGCTTGTTGCGAATTACCCATGTTCTCTTTTCTTTTAAAAACTAGTGTCTCCGCAAATATCACAAACGTGATGGGCGCCGAGGCCATTATTTATTGCGTGAAGCGGTCTTTTTTTCTTAGAATTCCCAAGATCGACTTTCTGTTAACCTCGGCATTGGAATATGAATGCGTCGTTTTCTTGTTCAGCAATCGTGAGGTTGTTAAACAGCATACATTTACTTCCATAGAACAACACAATATAACACAGCAGTAGCTGACGTTTCGGAAGTATCTCCTTCTTTCTTAGATTCTTAATACTTCCAGAGTAAAGTATTTTCATTTTGTTATCATGGGTAATGGTCGGCCTTTGCGAAGCAAAGCGGCATCCTTACGATTACGTTTTGGCCGGCATTGCTGCGATTTCTAGATTTCTAGTTGATTGGCTTTTAAAAAAAAATTTTCAAACTAATTAGCCTTAACATCCATGACAGAGGGATGGTTTTCCTGCCTTGCTTCATATTTCGTACTAAAGGCTACGTCGCGACGACGAAAACCATAAAGAGGCGCGATCTGTAGTCTCTTTTTCCGATCAGTAATTCTTGATTATAGTAGGTATGTCTTGTGCAGATTTAGTTGGTTAAAAAAGGCAGCAAAAATTGGAGTCGATCGGCACATGGTTTTGGACCTTAATTATAGAGCCACAATGATGCTGAGATATTTGGAAAATTCCAAGGCGTGGGTCTCTACGATGGGGAACGAATGTGCTATTACCCTTTCCGTAGGCTAATAATGCGTTCACCATCGTGCCATGTGGGTCCTTCGTTTCGGCTGTCTCTCAACTAGTTCTCTATCTACCAGCGCCATTACCGTTCAACCGTCAATGGGATTGAAATGGGGAGCCCAGATTAATTATAGATTTCGCTCTCCTGAAATATCGTGTTTTATTCCAAATGCAACGTTTTCTAGAGGTGGATCAATCCTTGTCACTACCTACTCAACGTTCCAAAAACACAAAAACTTGTTGTTGCCACAGTCTTGGCACTATGTGGTATTAGACGAGGGTCACAAAATTAGGAATCCAAAAACTCGGGTAAGTTCCTTATTTTTTCATGCTTAACTTTCTGTAACTCAAAGTTTTGTGTTTTTCGGTGCATTTTTTGAAGTGATAATGATCCTGTTTTTTTTTTACTTATACTAAAACTTTGGAAAATAGACTTTGTGCTCATATTCTGATAATTCTGTAATGTCGAGAAAATCGAATGCTTTTCAGATTTCGGAGACTGTTAAGCAGCTTCATACACCATGTCGTCTTGTTCTTAGTGGAACACCGCTTCAAAATTCTCTTACTGAAATATGGTAGGTAAGAGTTGAATGGGTTTTCATCAGTGTTACTATTTTATCTTGTGCTCTAAATTTAGGTCACTAATGGACTTTGTGTACACTGGCAAGTTGAACAGTCTCGAAACATTTACGGAAAAATTTGCTGCTCCGATCACGCAAGGTGGATATGCGAATGCTACGAAGCAGCAGTTACTCACAGCATACAAATGCGCTACAGTACTGCGGTTAGTAGCTTTTTAAGGTTTCATTTCATTATTTGTTTTTTACATATAAAGGTATCCTTTCAACGGTTGGTAAACCGCCTCATCGTTCCTGAGAGATGCTCCTAGGTGTCGGGCTGCGATCTACAGCAGGGAGATTCATCCGCTTGGCAGTGTTTCCCAAGCTGAGAAGGGGTCCAGCGTTTCCATCGGAACCCCACATAAGAATAAACCAGTACCATGGTCCGTCACCGTCTTGATACAGAACTAGTTGCATGGTGGCAAATCTCCATCTGATCCACAAGTGCAGCGACTGCTTGCACTGCTGAAGGCCAAGGGCAGACTTTGGCAAGGCTGACCTCGGGATTCCAGGAAACCACAACGGCTAAACTAACGGAACTCCAAAAGTTGAGATTAGGCTGGGGCGAGCACAACCAGTGAGGGCGGGCCATCCAAGTATCCCATTAAGTGTCTAGAGGTATTGAGGAGTTGAGAAGAACATTAACTTCCAAGCGGGTTTTTATTCATAGATTTCCTCAATGAAGGAAGGAAATTCAGTGACGTAATTTAGAGGAAATTGTTTGAATCTGGAGGCCGTATATGGGGCGAGGAAAGTTTTGATCCAGTGATAATGCTTTTGTGAGATTGAGTGCTATCTGGACAGAATGGCTGTAACTTTCTAGACTTTCTACGTTATGATTTTCCGTAATCTCACTAACTGAAATTTTAGGGATGCAATAAGCCCTTTCATACTTCGAAGAGTGAAGAAAAGTGTTCAGAAATCTCTCAATTTACCTGAAAAGAATGAAAAGGTTCGTGTGCTTTTGTAGCCTTTTTAAAAAATTGATGTTTCAACGTAACTACGACTTTTGTTAGCTCCGGAGCGTCTATTGGAAGTTTAGAGCATGGAATCTCTTGTGAAAGCACTACGAAATGACGTTATCAATACCAGTTCACATTAATAGACGTAGTAGAGTTATGTGAGCTGTTAGGTTATGATTGAGAACTGCTAACTAAAATTAGCCTCACTGTATTGCATATCAGGCTGTACAAAAACATGGATGGACCCAATATTTAGAATTTTTTTCTTTACCTTCGTATTTTCACCCTCATCCTCATGCTGACAGTTTTTTTTACTATTCGTTATGGTTTCGATTCTCAAAGTGTTCGGTATTAATGGGTTTAGGTACTGTTTTGCGAACTGTCATCAGAACAACGTCATTTATATCTGGATTACCTAAAGTCACGCGAGTGTGAGAATATTTTGAAAGGAAGGCTGGATGCATTCGTAGGCTTGACGATTTTACGAAAACTTTGCAATCATCCTGATCTTATCACGGGTGGACCAAATCGTCACGGTAAAGTTTTTTAGAGCAACGCTTTTCGCATTGAAGTCAATTTTGCATGTTCTCCACTATGAAATAGTTCCGCACTTTATCAGTTGATATTTCAATGTCTCTTTCCTCAGAGTCCTCCCAATGGTTTGCCGCCTCATTGTGGGTGGTAGATGTTCCTGGGTGTCGGGCTGCGATGTACAGTGTGTGGATTCATACACTCAGCAGTCTCCCAAGATGAGAAGGAGTCTGACGCATCTAGTCGGAAACCTTGCTAAGAGTAAACCAATACCAGGATCCGCCGCCGTTCTGATACGATACTAGTCGCATAGTGGTAAATCTCCTTCAGGTCCACAAGGAGTGCGACTGTCTGTGGTGGTCACGTCTTGGGGCAGACTTTGGCCTGGGTAAACTTGGCACTCCAGGGAACCACAATTTCTAAACCAGCAAAACTCCGGAAAAATGGAAATTATGTTGGGACACGCACAACAAGTGAAGACGGGCCATCCAAGTATCCACGTATCCGTGGAGTGCCGGTTAGATTTTCCAGGGAATTACGTTACAAACGCATTTAACAGTTTTCTTATTGATTATAAGTATTATATTTATGAACCTCTTTAAAAGTTCATTTTAAACAGTTTTATCGATTTAGTGTTTTAGGTGACTTTGACCAAACTGTAGACCCATCGAAGGCATTTGGTTTTTGCAATCGTAGCGGCAAAATGCGTGTACTACTTCAGCTGTTGGAATTATGGCGAGCAACTGTGAGATTCACTTGCCATACCTTCAACGTATAAAATTTGATTAACACTAAATCCTATTTCAGAAGAGCGAAAAGGTACTGATTTTTAGCCAGAGTCGCCAAGTGCTTGACATTCTTGAACGTGGACTTCAAAATAGCGAGTGAGTTCACCGATATTTTCCTTTACTATTAACATTGGAGTTCCGTTTAAGGTACTCGTATCTTCGTATGGATGGCAGTACTGCTATCGCTAGTCGACAGAAAAAAATCGAGCGCTTTAACGAGGTCCTTCACTAGAACGTTTGTATCTTGATTTCTCTCTCTATGTTTAACTCTTCCTTCACAGGACCCGGAAATTTTTATATTTTTGCTGACGACGAAAGTGGGAGGAATAGGAATAAATCTAACGGCTGCAAATAAGGCAAGCCAGATTTTTAGATCATCTGATTTTTCGAAGTATTTTTCATAAACACTTCATGCTTTTTGTGTAGGTTGTCATATTCGATCCTGATTGGAATCCTTCAACGGACACCCAAGCAAAAGAGAGGTCTTGGCGGATTGGCCAGGAACGTGCGGTGACGATTTATAGGCTACTTTGTGCTGGTACAATAGAAGAAAAGATTTATCATAGGTAGAGGAGTTATGCAGCTATAAATGATCTGAATTTCGTGTGACATTGTGGTCCTTCAGGCAAATTTTTAAACAGTTCCTCGCTAATCGAATTTTGAAAGATCCTAAGCAACGACAGTTCTTCAAAACAAACGATCTGCATGACTTATTTTCTTTCACTGACGTCCATGTGTGTAAATTTCTCTGTGTTTCTGAGGTCGTTACATTTACTTAACATATTATTTTACATTTAGAAGGATGCTTTAACAGAAACAGGCTCTCTGTTTGCGTCAGAGACTGATGAGATCCGTTCAGTCAATTTCTTTAATTCCGACGAATACAAGTGCGTAAGTGGAGGTGTATGTAGGATGTTTGTATCAAAATTTGTCAGAAATCTTATATCATTCTGTATTTTTATGTCATAGGAAGCACGAGGAAAGGTACAAGAAGTCAAAGAAGTCTGTTGATGTCTCTGTTGATCAACATACAGCTTCTTCCCTGGCAGCGTCAGAATTAAGTGAAGCTAAAAAGAAAGAACTTCGTAAGCGCGCAAAACTTCTTTCAAGGTTTGGAAATGTTAACGCGTCGTTTTCTTGTTCAGCAATCCCGAGGTTGTTATACAAGATGCATTTACTTCCATAGAAAATACAACACATACAATACAATACAACAGTACAGTAACACAATAGTGACGTTACGGCTGCATCGCCTTCAGAGCTTGGAACGGTATACTGATATGCAATTTATTAGGACAAACGCTTCAATAACACTTACAAAGGGACGAAAAACTCTATGGTAATTACATGATCAACAGCCTCTCGAAACACCGCTTTTTTTCCGCGAATTCCAATGACGAAGGTTGGAACAGCTGATTATAGTCTCCTATGGTTGATGACTGCACCACTCCACATCAGAAATTGATGCAAAAATACGGGCCAGGTCGCGTGTGATCTCTGGGCATTCCTCTCTGCTATTCATTGTGGGGCTTTTGGCATTTATACAAAAAGCCTCAAGAAGTTTGCGCGTTGGTGTCTTAGTCTCCTGTGCGGGGATATTTGGAAATGTTGTTGCTGATATTACTAAGGTTTTATTGTAGAGCACTGAGTAATTTTTGAGGTTAGGTCGAATGAAATATTCGCCTTCACAAAGTTTTTTTCTTTGAATTGGACATGTTATTTTTTACTAGTATTTCGGCATTAGCTGTTTAGAAAACTGGGCTGTCTCAAGTCAAATGAAGCGGAGCTTATAGGCAACTCTTCGGCACAACAGAGCAAGTCGTTGAAGGAAAGAGAAAGTTCTACTAGTGAAGGATTAAAAAAGAAGCAGATGACTGAGTCGAAAGCACCATGGGGCTCCAAATTGATTCCATCAAGAACCAGTAGTCGATGTGGTGGAGAAGGTGCCGAAGCCCATGGAAGTGAGAAATCAAGTGATGATTTCGTGCTGAATTGTCTGTTGCAATCTGCAGGGGTCCGCTGTGCGATTGAACATGATGATCTCGTCGGCGATAAATCTTCTAATTTCTTGATTGAGAAAGAGGCAGCTTCCGTGGCAAATCGTGCAGCGGATGCTCTTGGCAAAAGGTGCGTTCTCCATGCTTTGAAATTAAGTCCAGTATAAGCGTCACATCTTTTTTTTTGACTCTACTTTTAGAACTAGTAACTGTTTAAACCTAGCGAGTGCTTAAATGTCGCCGGAACAAGCGGTTTAATAAAGATCATTTATCAGTGGATTTCCTTACTTTGGATGTATTTTTGACTGAATTGAGTTGATTATTTGGTTCTGCTCTACATTCTCATGGTTCTGTTGAATTTTTTTTACTCTGATAACTAACAATTAATGAATTGCTTACTCTTATTTTTAGTTTCGTCAATACTAATAGTTTTTTTCTAAACACTGATTTTAAAGGATGTACGCAACAGTTAGCACTTGTAGGAAATCTACTACTGAAGTTTTTGAATCTACATTGTTTCATAGCGTTTTCGTAGTACTTCCGTAATGTCCTTCTGACAATTTCTAGGTCCAATAGGTCTTTTGTGCGGCAGTTTCGCGCATCGTTTTCATATTGCTCTGGAAATAAGCCTGTATATGCCAGTTCGTCTCAAACATTGCCATTTCAAGGCAGCGGCGCAAAGATTTCCGCTTTAGCTACTCTGCATGCTAGGAAGCGTAAACTGGGTGAAGCATCGCCATCGGTAAGATTGGTATTATTATAGAGAATAGTTTAAGGGATATAACCGAATGAAAACTAAAGATGACTGTTGTTTTTAGGATGTTGTAGTAAGGGATAAATATGTCGAGATTGCTGAAAAAATACAAGATTTCATGCGAAAATCTGGTGGAAGGGCGTTTACGGAGAATATTACCAGTAATTTTGAGGTTCGTTACTTTTGTTTTTTAAAGGCGTTGTGATAATTTGTAACAAATTCCCTACAACGTACGATTTCCATCTATTAGTACAATAATTTTGATGAGTTACATGTTACATGTTACATCCGAGAGTTTAGCGATCAGTACTGTTCTCAGGCCATTAGCGTTTCGATGATTTTACGTAGTTCACTTGATATTGTGGACTCGGTCGTCGATTGGCGCCACATATAGTTGTACTCATCAAATCCGCTACCTCACGCGACTCAAGTATAAGCACATTTAGTAGCTTATCTCTTTGAATTTGATCTGTTTTGTTTTTATTTTTGAACATGTGATGTCTGACGATCGAATTTTTGTAGCGTCCTTGTGGGACGAGGTCTAATTTCATGTAATCTGCACAAACGGTAAATTCGGCTGGATTTGATCGTGGCAAGGAACGAATGGTGTTTGTTTTCTTGAGAATAGACGATAAATTTTTAGTAACTAAGGACTTGGAAGGTTGAGAACTTCGAAATTTCTAAAATAGTTTTAAAAAGAAGTCTTTATAACTACAACTTCAGCTTAACTGGGTTTAGTACGGGTTTGGGCTACCCAGATCAATCCTGGTGGCACTGGTCGGTAGAACTATCTAAGAGACAGACAAAACGCATGCTGTGGTGGGGAACGCTTTCACCCCAGGAAGATTAATAATGCGTTTTTTCTCTACCGCAGACACCTGTGGTCCGGAGTTTTGCAAATATCTCAGCATCATTGAAGTTACATTTCGCATCATACATTGCCATTAAGAAGAGTAGGCAGTAAATATTAAGCTGAAATCGGAGTTTTTTTTCTTTTCTTTTTTCTTATGGAGTTATATGTATTGGTGTTCACAATGTTTTACTATGATCAAATGATCCAACCATGTAGCTATTAGTGTTTAGAAGTATTTCGGAATTTATTTATTTTGAGTGTAATTCAAAATTTTTACCCGCCCTTTTCACGTGGTAACTCTTAGTCATCTCAGCAAATGAAATAACAATCAATTGTCGGTCAAAATTTGAACGCTTCACGTCTCATATTAGGAAGATTCTGGTTTTCTAACAACTGTCTGTGTTTTCATGTAGTTGAAGGACTTGAGTAGTTGAGGAGTTGAGAACTTGACAGGTTTATAGAAGAGTTCTATCGCTCAGTTGGAATACACGCTACAAGATTGAACGGAATCGAACAACTTTTGACTCCGCATCTAAAGTGACAATATGGAAGCTGATGTCGAATGCAATATGGAGCGTAGTATTTTCCAAACGGTTCAATAGTATAGTAGATTATTGCTTAACATCCACTAATTCTGCATTGATAGTCAGGCTACGATAGACTTTCATGAATTGTCGAGCTGAAAGAATTTGATGAGTTATTGATATTTGCGAAATGACTGTAGTCCCGGTGGAAACTGGTAACTGTTGACAAGTTAAGGAGATTCATCAGTGTCTAAGTTTGGATTATTATGCTAGCACAGTTTAGGGATTTTGGGATTCAAATCTGGCTTTGATGTGGCGTCCTATCGCAATCATTATTAGGATGAATAGATTTGAAAGACTGTTTCCAAACTTCCACTTTGCTAACACCACAGAGGATGACCGACAAGGCAGATTTTACGACATTAAACCACTGAAAAAGCGAATGACTGCGAATTGTAGTAAAGTTAGAGTCGCCTTTTGCATATCTCATGCAAGGGATTGAGTACGGTCTCGTGTAATTCATATTGTAATCAAGAAGCGACTACAATTGCAGAATTTTCATGTGTGTCGGTAGCTACTCCTTATGACTGGAAATTTGAGTTACGAGGCTTGTCAGCGATTTGCTGGATTTTGCTAACATCCGTGGGAAGAACAGCAATGGTCTTCCCAAGAAGATCATTCCCTTTAAGATGAAGGGAGCTCAACGAACCGGGAGTAAGAGCGGGGTAACTGTATTGAGGTGGAAATGTAAGAAGGTCGTCATTAGGAAGTTCACAGTTTAATGGCATGACTCTTCGCTCAGTCAAAACTGCAGGTTATTGAATGCTTCAAGTAGGGAAAGCTCTTCCTAGGCAAGACGGCGTGGAGGGTTTATAGCGTTCGCATGCTTAAAACGTGTCTGAATGATTTCAAAGTCGGCATCTACTTTTGAAGCGGGAATGCACCCGCAACGTAGATTTTTCATTTCCTTGATGAAAGCAATTCGAGTGGAACGAAAATATGGAAGCGACGCAGCAAAGCAATGTCAAAGAACTACTATTGCAGATACGCTGGAGAAGATGGGAGGCAGGTTAGCCTAATTTGCAACTATTGTCACCTGTCATCTGTAGTCACCTGTAGTCTCATTGGTCGTCGAGTAACTCGAGCGGGTGGCAGTAAATCTTATATTTTCCCTGTCGCTTGCAAGAGTAGCCTAGTGGGTTATGGTCGCTCTAAAGACTTGCTGAGCATCATATTTCTTCTAGGCTCTTCATGAAGAACTCTAACCTTCGGGCCGGTGGTTTTCCTGCAATGCGTTTGACATCCCGAGGAATCCAGTGACTAACGGCAATTGTCCATCCGTTGTCGTTCATACGCATTATGTGTCTGGCCCGTCTTTTCGATTGTTTGGCGTACGGAACGATATCTTTGATTTTTGATCATTGACGCAGGTCGAAGCTTCGGATTCCTTTTCTTATTTGTGTGAAACGGGATACTCCTAGCATCGTCCTTTCGACTGCACGTTCAATAACGCTGAGTGATCTTTTATCCCGCTTACGCAGCGACCAGGTTTTTGCCGCATAGGTTAGGGCAGGAAGTACCGTTCAGTCGAAAAGGTGGGCACGGAGTCGGATGCTCTTTGTTCTCCTCACTACATCCTCGATGCTGTTGAAAGTCCCGAAGCTACTCGTTTCCTTCTGCTCAACTCTGGAGCTAAGTCGTTCATCATATTGATTTTCCGACCTAGAAAGGCATAAATAGAGCATTCGGATATATCCATTCCGTTGAGCGTGAATGGGGCATATGAAACCAATCCTTTTCTCATGAACATGGTTTTTGGTAGATTTAGTCGGAAACCAGTC